GTTTCGGATGAAAACAATCGAATCTCGGAAGATCCTTTTATCTTGAGGGAACTTGGTCTCGGTCCGAACGACGCAGGAGCCGAGGGTTTCCTGCACAACAAATACACGTAAACTAGCCTCGGGGGGGACGCCGAGGAAGGCCCCTCCGATGCTTAAGTCAGTATATTAGAGAGAGAAAGCTGTGCAAGAGTTTAGTTGCTTGAGGCTTTATTGTCTTACCAAGAATTGACCAAATTGTTGGCTTTTATACCTTGGCTAATGAAGGAGGCGGATTGGGCCCGGAAGTCAGTTGGGCTGGGCCAAGCTGATTGGGCCGTTGACTGACCTTGACATGGCTTTGAGGATGTTGATTTTTGACTTTAGCACATTTGGAGAGTTGAACCTTAACCTTGGGCTTTTAATTGGATCATTCAGTGACCAGGCCCAATTGGACTAAATTGGACCCAAACAATAAGGATTCCGTTTGTTTCACGTTTGGAGAAGGCGGTTCCAGCTACGACGAAGAATTGGAACAATATCAACAAGAGAACATAAGTGTTGTAACGTGATTCAAAGGCAAGGGTTGAGGATATGTATGATATGTAGTTGCCCTTGTAGTAGCGTACCTTTTTTTTAATCCGGTTTTTGGCCTCAACTAGTGGCTAAACCTCGCGGGGTCCAACATGTCGTGCCATTGTTGGGATGGGGGCCCGGTTTTGAAATGGTTATGGAGACGTACCAATGAAGTGTAGAAATCGTTGGAGATTGTAACTTGGGTGGTGGTGGTGGCGGCGGCGGGGGTGGATTCATTGGTGGACATTGTATGTATGTGATGAGCAATTGAGCACACAAATTGAATTGAATATTGAGATTTTGGTATTCACTAAATAATCTTAAATAAAACACCTCAACTTTTAATCTATGTTGTGAAAATAATTGTGATGGAGTACGATGTGATGATGGTCTTTATAGGCATTGACATATTTGAAAGTTTATAAAAATCCTAATCCTAATTGAATCCATATAGTAGAGTATGATAAATTTTATGGAAAGTTTATAAGAAAATCCTAAATCTAATTTAATCTAGATAGTAGAGTAGGATAAAACTATAGGGTAATACTTAAGGTTGTAAGTTATGACAAAATAAAATTGTCATAATCTTACATGGCAATTATTTATTGGTGTCACGTAATGCCATGTAAGATTTGACTCGTTGTATCATTTTTATTTTCAAAAAATTACTACGATAATAACTCATAGAAATGGGAATTAAGAAAGAAATAAAATCCATCGATCAATTATCGTCACTAATTTTATTTCAAAAACTAATTTTTAGTTGTTGTATACTAATACTTCGTATATCATTATATAATCTAATAATATGGGCGACTATTTTTATCTCAAAAAAATAAAATAAAATTATCTAGTCAATTCTATAAATGGTGATTTGATACCAAAATTTTAAGGTCCAGATTAAAAGATCAGATTACCATAAGTCATTGCAAAACTGTCTTATAACGACGAAGGAAGTATGATTTTCAGATTCAATTCGTTAATTTGGACTTCACGGAATTTGGGGTCATTGTTAGTTTAAGGACTTTAGGACTAATTTGTTAAATCAATAATTCAGATCAACTAATTACTAACAACTAATGCGCGAAAAATTCTTCGATTATAATTAATAAAAATCGCGGTTATTAGCTACTCTCTGTGTTTGAAACTCAAATTATCATTGACCTCAATGCATTAAAATTCTAATCTACAACTGACTATTGTGTTCTCCCCTAATCGATGCGATACACCAAACTCCATATTATTAATTACTTCATATTTTTCATGCTTGCAATTCTAATTTTATTTTACATATGTATACTCCTAAAATTAATAAACTTTCTGAACTCAATCAATATTCCGTAAAAATAACAAATTAAATTAAATTTGGAAAATACTAATTAATAAACAACTCCATATATTAGCATTTTGATCGGATCGATCTATGAAATATAAGTCGCATTTTATTTGAATAAAACCATTCTTGAGTTGTTCATTAGGTTTTGAGTCACAACATATGTGTGAAAACCTTTTTTTTTTTTTTTTTTTTTTTTTTTATTGGTTTGAGTCAATCAAGTTCATTAACATAATCCTAGAATCTTGAACTAACTAAAACATTAGATCAAAAATATGAAAAGAGATTAATTATAAACCGTATTTTTAAAGATCGAGACGTAAATTAATAAATTACAAATATTGAATGAGTTTTAACCAAAAATTAAACTTAAAAATAAAAAAAAAAATAAAAAAATAAAAAATCAACAAAAAACAAATAGAAAAAATACTACGTAAAATAAATTCAAAAGCCAGTGTTGACGGGGATGGATCACTTGCTTTCGGCAGCAGCATCTACATGAACAAATTCTTTATCGTCAGTTAAAGAAACATCGTCTTGTTCGGGCACCCTAAAGGCGGCGTGACCGTAAATAGCCCCTACACCAGTTACAAGAACTGGTGATGACAAACTCAAAGGCAGAACAGCGAACATTATGAGGAGTCTGAAGGCTTCATCATGGGTGAAGTTGAAGCCAGCTACGACGAGCGGCGGCTCCTCGAGGCCGTAGATGAAGGTTCGGGTTAGGTGGAGGCAGAAGAGCGACAGGAGAGTGAAAGGGTTGGGGTATAGAACAAGGATTAGGGTTAGGAATATTGCGTAATTATCACGGTAGTACCGCAAGTTTTTGCGGACCCGGGTTTTGGCCTCAAGGAGGGTTTTTGGGTGGGAGAACCCCGCGGGGTCAATCAGGTCGAGCCATGATCGGGTTTGGGGAAGCAGGGTCGTTTTGATATGGTTGTGGAGGCGTTTTGATAATGTGTAGAAATTGAGGGTTGTACCAACTTCGTTGTTAGAGGATTCTTGTGTGGACGACATTGTTGTTGAACGAGTGTTGTTAGTTCGTACATTCTCAAAAAAAAAATAAAAAAATTTGAAGTTTAATCTCAATCGTTAGTGAAAATAAATTGTGTTTGGTGATGTATGATGTAGCGGTACAATATTTATAGGTAGGGAACGTATTTGATTTATAGAAAGTTTATGTTAAAAAGAAGTAGGATAAAATTTTATTGCAATCGATAAAATATATTTTTTGTTTTTATGAATGATAAAGTATATCATATATAAGTAAAACGAGTTATTTTTATTTTGATGAAATATGTTTGGGTGTAGTATGTTGATATTGCGCATTATGTGATATATTCATATATATGATGATATTTTGAACTTGATGAATTATATTTTTTACCTTATTCTTTTTTTAATAAAAAAAATGGTAGTTTCCGAGTTAGGCTCAGTTTCCTTAACTTAAAGATAATTTTAATTACTCTCTCCTTTTTCTTTGTTCTTGCACATGTATCGCTTTATACACCTATTAAGCTATCACAATTATGGACCATGTCACCGTGCACATGAATTAGGCGGATTAAACTTTTATTTCTTTTTTTTATTTTATTTTTTAAAACGGTACTCTCACAATAACCAATCCAATCAAGTAAAATACTAGTTGTTTAGCTAATCTAATACTCCCTCCGTCTCTAAAATTAAAGAACTACCCTTTTGGGGAGTTTTCACGGGTAATTAAGAAACTTAAATGGAAAATACTAGTGTATGAGAAAGCTTATAAAAGTACATTGAAAAGGTAAATTTTCATGGAATTTGCAAAAAAAGTAGAGATAGAAAGTAATAAAAGTAAATGAAAAAGGCAAAATTTACATGTGGAAACTAATTTTGCACAAATATTATTGTAGTCATTTTCATGTAAATGGGTAAATATTTGGGACTAAAATTTGGCCAAAAAAGACGTTGTTTTAGGAATGGAGGAAGTACATTTCTAATGTATTTACGCATTGTTAATCATTTTTTTTGGATCTGGTCTTGTTAATATAGTAATACACCGGTGCATTATTCCCTTTCAGGTTTTGTACGTTGTGCACTTCAATTCTTTATGCTATAACTAAATAAATTACAAAGAGTACATATAAATATACAAAAATACTATACATAAATATTCATATATATTTTGGAAATGAAGAAAAGATTACATAATGTTGACAATCAATTTATCATTCAAATACTAGGACTTTTTATAGTTTAAGTTAAAAGAAAAAACCTATGCACAATATAATTTAATTCGTCGTAAGAAAATATACTAAATAGAAAATGTACTAAATTGAACTTATTTGATTTCGATCCATTATTTATTTTTTATTATTTTTGAAAGACGATGAAGAATGCGTTAATGTTTCAATATATGAGGACTTTCATTATGCCAATCCTCACCTATAAAGGAGGTTACCACGAGAGTCGATGTGCCACCTTGGATCGGCTATTTACATTATTCTCTGCAGCACAATTGAAAGCTTACATAATCAAAGGAAAAAATAGCATAATTGATTATATATCTCCTGTTATATTAAAATGAAATACAAAGTATTATATATCTCCTGATTTGATTGGTCATTATGAAAATCCAAGGTAATAAAATACTGAGTATGTATGAAAATAATATTGTAATTGAAAAAGGTTCATCTTACGCCTCTTATAATGAATTTAGTGATACTTGTATTCAACTAGACTCCTACTCCGTATTTCACCATGTAGATTGAAAGTAACAATCAATCGATTAACAATTGAAATTCGAAAAAGCAAATACATGGTACTTCATACGTGTAATCTATATAAGATTTACATTTATTTGCTCCATTTTAGTTCCACAAATTCTTTTCAACAGCCAAAATTAATAAAACTAAGAATTCCTTCAACCAAATATCCACATTTGGTCATTTGCCAATTATCATATGCCATGTTGCTATTTTTGACATGAAAGCAAAGGCAAGATTCCTGAATTCTTCAAATCCCCACCCAAAACGACACAGTATCAAACTATCAACCCACTACTTTACCAAAAAAAATAAAATAAAAATGAAATAAATAAAATAAAAATTATACAGTAAATACAATGAATTAAATAAAATTTAAATGAAGATATTCTATTCTAGAGTGATTAATCAGAATAAGGAGGAGAGAGAAAATACTTTGTTTGTTCTCTGTCTTCATCTTCTTTGTGTGCACATATCATATATCTACTCCCTAAAATCATCAATTTTCTTCACAATTTTACAGTTTTTTTATTTCCTCATAAAATAAAATAAAATAAAATAAAAAATCTTATAACTACCCATCTCAATTTCACATCTACTTATAGTTTCAATTTCTCCCTATTTATCTCTTTCTCTCTCTTAAAATAATCTTCGTTTTTCATTGATTTCTGCGAAAAACAAGACCAACCCATTTCGATTCATCCTCAAATCTACAAAACCCATGTCTTAATTTCTCGAAATTTTCTTCGAATTTCTCAATTTTCATCTCCCCTGTTTTCTTTGATTATTTTTTCTATCGAAAATCCGCCATGGCAGCAGCAGCTCTTAGATCGAAATCTACCAAAGAAACAGCAATCTTAACAGCTCACCAATTCAGATACTTTGTGATGAATCAGATGCATATGGGTCGTATGGCAAGCTCTAACACTGGTTACAAAGCTAGTAAACCAGAAGATAACTCCATAAACACACCTTATCATTTCATGTCATTCAAGCCTGTTTCACTTAGAGGTGAATTCGTTGATAGAGGTAGTAAATTTGTGGGTTTTAATCATCATAAGAGGAAATTGGGTTCTGATTCTAATGTTATGAGGAGTTCTGGGGATCCTCCGGAGGTGTGGCAGCCTCCTAATGATGGGGTTGTTGTTCGGGCTCGAGGTGGCGGAGGAGGTGGAGGTGGAGGAGGAGGTGGAAGTGGTGGAAATGGTGGTGGTTCGAATGCCGGTTCGAGTGGGGGTGATGGGTTTGGATCCAATTTAAAGGATGGGTGTTGGGGTGGGTCAAATTTGGGGAGTGGATTTCCTACTCCTAAGGAAATTTGCAAAGGACTTGATAAGTTTGTGATTGGGCAAGAGAAAGCTAAGAAGGTATACTCCTTTATGCCATTTTAGTTACTTTCTTTAAATTTGAGTTGAATTTTGCTTTATATGAGATTACACTTAGTAGCATAAACGTGATTTATGATTGTTATTGAAGATTGCTAAAATATGACTATGATTAGTTTTAGTGTGTTTCAATTATTGTATTATGTTATTGATATTGAGTTTGGGAGATTGATTTGTATGATCATTTAGATGAGTGTTGTGTATGTATACAATTTGTTGGTTTTCGATGATTAAGGTCATATGGTTATTGTTAGTTCATTTTCGTGCTTAAAATAACTAGTGTCCTGTTGATTGTGGATACCTTTTCAGTTTTATCCAAATTCTTGTTATGCTGAGAGTATATATATTTGCCACAGTACTTTTTCTTTCGGCTATTGGTTTCCTGTTATGCGCGAATTTGAACTGAAATACTGGCACACTCCTTTTGCTTGCAGGTGCTCTCTGTTGCTGTTTACAACCACTACAAGAGGATATATTATGAGGCCTTGCAAAGGTTGGTGATTCTGCTACATGTATCTGTTTTTATTAATAGAAGATGAACCATTTACTTATATTGGGATACAATCATAATTAACTGTCTTGCATGCTTTATTTTTGGATGTGGAACATGATATGCGATATTCATTGTAATGTTTGAAGTTGAATCAAATTCTAGTATGGCTTCCATTGCTCTTATAGGACAATAAATTGACTATTAGATTCAAATTTTCAGATGATGCTAGAGGTTTGACACTTTATACTTAACATATTGTACACTAACAATTGTGGCTGTAATTTAGTTATATTTAATCCCATCTCAAGACAAGTAAGATTAATGCTGATAAAGTTTTGGCTGTTAAGAAAATTTGTTCTATTCTATTACACATTCACACAGAATGTTTTATTTTTATTTTTAATTATTATCTTTAAAAAAAATATATTCATAAGGGATTTTAGGAATCTTCATGTGTAAAGTGTGGTATTATACCCCAATGTCTTTGAGTTTGACAAAGCATTCAAGTACTAATTGTCCCAAGCTTTCACTGGCCACGGTTTGATGATTGTTTTGCTTGTAGTTGCTATGTTATGTTGTAATTTGAATATGCTATGAATATCTTGCTAAAATTAACTAATTGCTTATGGTTTGTGGAAAGCTAGGCAATCAGCGGAGTCAGCTAATGGGAAATCAGATCCCTCTGATGAAGTTGTGGAACTTGAAAAAAGCAACATTCTAGTAATGGGGCCTACAGGGTCAGGTAATCTGTTGTCACCGTAGATGACTTTTCTTCAGCAGGATCTCAGTTATTCTTTTTGATAATTTGAGGATTTAGCTTAGACTTTAGAGGCCACTCCACTGCCTTCCAATTCTGCAGTTTGCAGTGTGCCTTTGTCTCTGTTCCTTATATTTTCTTTATGCTGTACATGCTGGAAACAAGCTGAAAAATGTTGATATAATTTAGTAAAGCCTCTTTTTCATCGTTTTTGGATAGAGGAAGTTAAGAATGATTTGAAGAAATTGGTTTTACATGAGCATATAGCATGTGATAGGAGGGAACAGAGGGAGAGGATCTATATTGATGACCATTGGAAATTGGAATAAAAATCTTGGTTCATGTAGCTGACCCCTCTATTGGGATTAAGGCTCTGATGATGATGTTTTCTTTCACTCTTTCCCATCCTTTTCTAAAGAGAGCAAAATTGTAGACTTTTGTTTCCAATGTTGTAATTCTCTAGTAATTGCTTGCAATGCCATACTCAAGTCTATGTATACAAGGAAGCACTTAAAGAGTTAATGTTGTATAGCTATCAGTATATAAAGTCTATCATTCAAGGTTATAAGACCAGGGAACATATGATAGAGGTCATACATTCCAAGAAGTCTGGATATGTATTATGCAAAGATCAACCATGTTCTTTTCTTTTTACTGAGCCAAAAAGTAGAGTTAGTGGCAAAAGGAAATAACTATAGCATATATCACAGATATTCAATATACATACGGGGGTCTTTAGCCATCTAACAATTCATCAGTATTATAGAACGTTGAACCTCTTAAATGAATTGATTTCGATTTACACCTCAGTTGAGGTGAAGTGCCATAATGTGCTTCTTGCAAGTGATATGATTTTATTGAAAGTGGGTGGAGAAGAGTCAGGATCAGGAGACATCAATGGCAATTTGGAGCTTTGACTTTTTGAGAGATACCCTTGGAATCTATGTTTTCTTATTGAGTAAAACTATAATAGACTACTTGGAACATGATTAGGGGAACCTGGAACTCAAAATTGATGCTATACCAAAGATAATGCCAAGAGCTGTTCTTTCAAGGAATAGAGATGGCTAAATTATTCTTCCTTTTTCATGGTGTCAATGCAAAGGGGACATTCTGCAAGCCATCAAGGCTGTTGGTCTATTAGAATTTAACACAATAGTAATGTAGATGAGAATGTCTCATTTGATGTGAAATCCTAGATGTTGGATTGAGTAAATGGTAAGAAAGATATTGGGGGTTTATTTAATGATTTTAAGAGCAGGAAGCGATAGGTTGGCACCTTAGTAGGAATATAGTAGGGTTCTGGATGTTACAATTTGGTGGTGGTAGTCAGAATAGGGGAGGTTGAAAAATAGAGAAAGAGTTGGGAGCTGAATCTCTTTTTTGTTTTCTTGGTCATACGGGTCATACCTTTGCTTTAGTTTTTGTATTAGGAGGTTGTAGTTCTCTGTTTATTTATTTTTCTAAGTTAATCTATTTACATTTTTGTCTCATTCTTGTAATGCTTTCTCAAGGACAGGGAAGACATTACTTGCAAAAACATTGGCGAGGCTGGTGAATGTACCCTTTGTAATTGCAGATGCAACCACATTGACTCAGGTAAGCGAGAAATCATGTTATACAGTGGTTCAAGACATCTTTTTTTTCCATTGACTACTTTAATTTGAGGTCCATTATATATAAATTAAGAGAATTGTTATGAAATTCATATGTAATTAAATATTAAATGACCCTTGTTATTAAATATTGAATATTATATATCTCCCTTTTCACTTTTCTTGAGGCATCACTCTTTTACATCTACCTTTTCTGCATATGTGAGGTTTATCTTGAAAAACATTTGTTTTGGGATCACATGCTGTCTCATTCAGTACTGTAAGCCAAAACCATAGTTTGTTTAATTTATTTTTACCCATGCACGCATGTGCTTAACTTATGTGGTGTCTCAAGAGAATGATTACTGGCTAAGTGGCAGCCTGGATTGTATATATTGTTGTGATTTGGCTGCTGACTGATGTTTATGTGCTCTTTTCGTACCTGCAGGCAGGATATGTTGGAGAAGATGTAGAGTCAATTTTATACAAGCTTCTCATGGTAACTCCTTAATTGTTTTAGGAACATTTATTTTGTGGCATGCTTTTCAGCTAGCTCCTTCTCAATTAAGTTTGATGAGCATTAAAATTCATCATTAACCCATGTTTGTCTTTTGTTTTTTAATGGATGTACTTATGCATTTGAATTTTGAAAGATCTTGTGGCTGAATAAAATTTATATCCTGTGAAAGAATACTTGCCACTTTGCATTTTGAATGCCTCAAGATAATTAAATTCCATATTTTTGAGAAATAATGAGCACACACAAAATAAGAAAAATGCAAGCAGTGAACGACTGAAAAAAAAATTATCCTGTGTCATTCACTATTTTCTCATAATGAGACAAGCTATCCAAGGAAGATGCTTGTAGGCCCTTTCTCACTATATTCAACTCATAAAATGAGTTTACTCTCACAGACTCACACACTCTTTGAATTTTTAGAGATGACACCAGCTCACTAGACAACTCTCTATAATACAGGAAATGAGTAACCCTTTTAGTTCTGAGTTTATATAGGAGTAAGAGAGTCCATGGGACATCCCAAAAAGAAAAGTATGAAGTTTATGTGGGGACAGAGGGAGTATTAACTTGTTGATTACATCTAATCATGCAAAATGCAATATTGACCTGTTTTGTCTAGCTGTTTGCCAGTCGCGGCATCCTTTCTTATCTTGCCATTGGAATTAGATTTAACTTTGGATACAAGTATTTTTCTAGGGCAAAAGCTAATGAGCGCCCCCGGGGCGTTAGATAAGAGAATTAAAAGTGGAATTATTAGAGTAAAACTAACATTAATTACACCGAACGACGCGTGATTTTGTCATGCATTCCTAACTTAATACTATTTTGTCATGCATTCCTTATCTAACTCCCCGGGGTGCTCGTTAACAAGATCTTTTTTCTAGCAAGGATTTAGTATTATTAAGGTTGGGATTCTAAGTGTTGGGTAGCTTTATTTTGGTTAAACCAAAAAATTTTAATGTCAGTATGATGATTTACTTCTGCAACTAGAGGCTATATATTCTCTTGTTTTTTTTTTTTGTTCCAGGTGGCTGATTATAATGTGGCAGCTGCACAACAAGGCATTGTGTACATTGATGAAGTCGACAAAATTACCAAAAAGGTTTTTTTTTTCTTTTTTTCTTCTAATTTTTTATTTTTCTGCTGGTTTAGTAGGTTTGAATTTTTTCTTAAAAAAAAAAACCAATTGATTGAGTATGTCAAATTGCAGGCTGAGAGCCTTAATATTAGTAGAGATGTATCAGGAGAGGGTGTTCAGCAGGCATTATTGAAAATGCTGGAAGGAACAGTAAGTAAACCTCTGCTTTCTGACAAGTTAATAAAATTTTTTAACATGTGTTTGCATCTTCTATAAATATATAATATTTTTTTATTAGTATATAGGGGTGCTTAAATATTATGCCCTTTTGTTTCTGGGTGATTGATGCTGCTTATTGAGTGATTGTGTTCTATTGAAAGATAAACTAGGTAAAGTTGGTTATTTAAGCTCTCATGAGTAGATGATGTCTCTTTAGTGTTTGTTGGTATCATCTTACCCATATTGGTATTAAGGAACTAGCTTTTGCATTATATTTATACGATTGTAACAGCGGAGTATATTAAAAGGGTAGTAGAGAAAAGGGTTTGCATGGTTGAAAAATTATTTCAGAAAATAATATATAGGAGCATATATACCAAGTCTATGTTCAATTCTTTTGTTGGAATTTGGCATTGCCTGAGGTATATTCAGTGGAATTTGGAGTCTCCTCATGTTTCTTAGTGCCTAAAGAAACTTTTGCCAACAATAAATTCTTTATGATATAGTACTTGTTTTGCATTAGTACAGCTGGGACTTTGGCAAGCCTTAGGTCACATCTTTCGTTTTGAGCTTTGTTGTTCTCACTTTGTTCAATTGGTATTGTTAGTTAGACGAAGTAAGCTTACTGATCTTTACTATTATCACCAGATTGTCAATGTTCCTGAGAAAGGAGCTCGGAAGCATCCCCGGGGTGACAATATCCAGGTATCATAGTGTATTTTGACATGGGTACAAAGATTCATAACTTAAATGAATATGTATTTTGTCAAGTCAAGACTATGCTTTTGTTGGCTAGCATAACAAATGTTCTCAATGGCTGGCTTTTGATTTTTTATTTATTAATTCTTTGTTTGGCAGATAGATACAAAGGATATTCTTTTCATCTGTGGGGGTGCTTTTATCGACTTGGAGAAAACCATCTCAGAAAGGTTTTATTTTCTTTTTCTGCTTTTTTTCAGCAATTTGCTTCCTCTGTGAGTATTGACTTGGAAAAAACCATTTTGGAAATAAAGTAGCTGAAGAAATTATTTTATTTTTATCCCAGGCGCCATGATTCATCTATTGGTTTTGGTGCTCCTGTACGGGCCAATATGAGAACAAGTGGTCCCACAAGTGCTGTTATAGCTTCATCTCTATTGGATAATGTATGTTTGTGCTTAGGTTTGCACCTAGAATAACTGGAAGATATCTTTTTCTTGCAGATTCTTACTGGTATTCTTATTCATACTCAGAACTCAGAAGCTTTGCTTACAATGTTTTGTTGTGTGCTGTATACCTTTTCAGGTAGAAAGTAGCGATCTCATAGCTTATGGTTTGATACCTGAATTTGTTGGAAGATTTCCAGTCCTTGTTAATTTGTCAGCCCTCACTGAAGATCAACTTGTTGAGGTAATACTTTCCCTCAATACGATGTAATTTTCTGTTGTGATCTTGTACACAATGTAATATAATTTCTATCAATCATCAGTGTTAAATCTTGGGGATAGCATAGAACAAATATTTATAATGAGCAACCTAGTTTTCGAAAGTTTTCTCTAATTGAAGTATGTTAGTCTTAGGAAGGGACAATTTAACATATAAAAAAGGAAGAGAATTTTTTACATTGGTAACAAGACGCTGGGTATACCTATATATGATTCTCCTGGAAGTTCTGAAAGTCATGGGCCTTAGTTCTTCTGCTATTTGAAAGGGAAACTTGTTATGCTGAGAAGATAATTGGATTTATTTTGGGTTCCAATTTTTTTGACTATCAATGTTTCGTTGATGTAATTCTTGATCTATAGGTTTTGATGGAGCCAAAGAATGCTCTTGGGAAGCAGTATAAAAAGATGTTTCAAATGAATGGAGTAAGTATTTCCTCCGAAACCCCTTTTCTAGATTAATTCCAGATCAACATGGTCTTGGATAACTCCATTGTCAAATCTTAAAACTGTGTGACTGTGAGCCTCTGAGAGTCACTTAATTTTCACTGTAATGTTGGTTTGGTGTTATGCATCCCCACTCTCACAACTGAGGTTAGACCTAATTTCTCTCTCTCTCTCTCTCTCTCTCTCTCTCTCTCTCTCTCTCTCTCTCTCTCTCTCTCTCTCTCTCTCTCTCTCTCTCTCTCTCAGGTGAAATTGCATTTCACTGACGAAGCATTGAGATTAATTGCAAAAAAGGCAGTAAGTAAGAATACTGGAGCTCGGGGATTGAGGGCCATACTGGAGAATATCCTCATGGATTCCATGTACGAGGTAACATGATCAGCCTCTTCATCTCTATTTTCTTGTTGAGACTAGAAGTTCACGCTGCTCTGTTGATGCTGTCGTAAGGAGCTTATGTATACAATTGGGGTATAACCTTTATTTTTGTGATTTCTTTTTTGTGAATGTTTGTGATGTATGTCATGCAGATTCCTGATACAAGAACGGGTGATGATATCATTGATGCTGTCATTGTTGATGAGGAAGCAATAGGGTTAGAGGGAAAAGGGCGTGGAGGTAGAATTCTTTATGGGAAAGGAGCCCTAGACCGTTATCTATCACAACAAAAACCGAAAGAGGCTGAAAGTTCTGAAGGAGAAGCTGAAGCTGAATCAGACCTCCCTTCTGTTGTTGCTAGTATGTAAAGCTTTCGGGTCAAGGGATCCCATTGTAGTTTCATCACTGTACAGTATCCATAAAGTACAAATAAGAGTAATCATTTAGAAGATAACAGGGTCGAGGGAGCAAAGGGGTTGAAAAGAAAGGAACATGTGTATTTGTATCATTTAGCTGGAAATTTGCAATACCCTCGCCCTTTACCGAGAAAATGGATTTGTTCTGCTACTATGATCTTGCCTCCCTTGCCAATGGCTGTAAATATACGATCTTTTCCACCACCTATCTATTCAGTGCATTCGCCTTTCAGGCAATCTCGAGTTACACCTCATTTTCATTTCAATACAGATTGTCATTTACAGAAACACAGAACGATGAGCCGGTCGAAACTACCACCCTGGCACCCGATTAAACTTTGCTAAGGTAATGATCTGACGAGGCCTAAATGTACACAAGTATTCAAAGAAAACTAAAGAGGCTCATTATGAAAAACAAGCAGGTAATAGTTTTAAATATCTTTTTCCCATTTAATAGTGTTACATCTTGTGTGTCCTACTTTATGTCACATGGTAAGGAAATAAAAGAGAAATTATAAGATATGGATCAAAAAGGCAAAAAATCTGTGACTTTTTTTTTATTTTATTTTTTTAACAAAGATTGATTCATAAATCTGTGACTTAGTATGTGTTAATTGTTAATTTGTTATACAACACCCTTAAATAAAAAAATAAAAATAAAATAGGGTGTTGACTGTTGGGTCTATTGACAAATACACAAGTATGAGAAAAACAGGTGCAGAGAATGAAAATATAATAGTGAACCTAAATTGATAAAAAAAAATGAACATAATAATGGTTTGGTAGTGGTGAGGGTGAAAGGAGTAGATAGAGGGGTCGGCACAATATAATTTTGTAAATTTTAAATCATGCACTTATTCTTTCTGCATTTGTAAATTATGTAAAATTATCAACAACCATTGATGATTTCTTTTATTAGCATATACTTGTATGTACATATAGTCTCTTTGTTCGATATTAAGACGATAACATGATTATTATTTTCGGACAGAAGGAGATTTGAGAAGCTAATACGAGTCCTTATTTCAGCTAAAATAGTAAGGTCGACAGAATTAAAAGAATAGTTTAAACTTCGTAAATTATACGTGTAAATAGTAATCCCAAAGAGCTTAAACAAAGTTAGTGCTATAATTAACTTGGACTTGGTGACCTTGTTTATAGTTGCTATTGTTGATGGATGGAGACAACCACTGGTAGTTGTAGATGAATTGTCGCTGCCATTTTCACCATATAGTAATTTGGATTTGTTGATACAAGAAATATATTAGAGAGAATTTTCTAATTTCTTGGACGGATTAATACTTAAGTTATACCTACCTCGCATTTAATGTGGATAACAAAATGAGTTGATTGCAAAGTTTATGATGAACCCTTTTTCTAAGAATCTAAGTACTAGTACATCTAATTGCTATAATTGATGAAAGACAAAATATCTATACGTATCAATTTTATTAATTGCTAAGAAAAGTAATTCCGTTCCGAGTATAGCACCTATATGTATCAATTTTATTACGGTATATAAGCTACTAACCGCATTTTTACAAGTAGTAGTAAAATAATAGGATCTAAATTCTTTATTATAGGAATACAATAATAAACGAGTCTTTTCTCTGAGTATTACTTGTACATCAATTTGCTAAGAAAAGTAATTTGGTACCTAAGTATTTCAACCATATATATAAATTTTGTAACAAACATACATAAGCTAATATCTACTAACAGTATGTTAAACTAGTGATATAATTGCAAATAATCTTATTAATAGTAACGAGCCTAAATTTTAGAGAATGTATTAAATAGGGTAGAAAGATTGATGGAATATGATTTATCTTGTTACTCTAATTTAAATAGATAAATTATTATCATTCTTGTTTACTACAGACAAGGTCTTTTGATGATTTATAAATTATTTTGGTGGTTGGCACCTACATAGGTGATCATGTGGTAGCAATTTATGCAGTCAAATAGAGAAGAGTGAAAGAAATAGAGAAAGGGAAAAGTTATTACTCCGTAATAGTTTTTGGTAATATTTAGTAACACTTTTGAGATTTCATGAATCTCTTCATCTAATCAAATCATCAATTGAAGATCATCAACCCATTTCGAACAAATACATGGATGATTGTAATTTGTAACTCATTACATAGCTGACAACACGACCAAATCAATGACACATCAATTCTTCAAGTTCAATATATGATTCAATGCACCTTTTCTTTTTCAACAAGATTAGATTAAGATTCCAATCATTTTATATTTTTTACCACAACAAAAAGTAACCCACTATAAATCCTTAAGAGGAGCCAATTGTGAACGGCAAGCAACCAATCAAAAACAATCATATATAAAACCAAAACAAGCTAAACAACTACTCAAACAAACACTACTAAACTTAGGTAAGAATGTAAGATACTAAGATATCTAAAAGCAAAGCAATGTGACACAATTATACTCCAACTTGTAAAGTAGTAATTCGACATCACATTATAATTGTAAAGCCCCCACAATCAACGTGCACATCATCCACTCATCTTCCTACAACTTCTCCACATTCTCATAAATTTAATTTATTTCTTAAAAATTCCAAAAATCCTTAAATTCTAAAAATTGCCAACTTTTTGTCCGTTGGATCATAAACAGTTAAAAAACCATTTTTGAAATTGGACGATTATCCTTGAATTTCTCTCTCTAAAGTCAAGAGAAGGAAATTTTAGAGAGAGAAAAAAAATCTAGAGAGAGAAAGAGTGAATGAAGAAGAAAAGAACTCTCTTTTTTTTTTTGTGAGGGAAGATTAAATTTTGATTCTTTTGGAATTGATCAATCCATCTTCCCTCCTTTATCTCTCTTTTTTTTCTCTTTTTTGGTGTTTGAATTGTTATTTCTCTCTCTAAGTTTGAGCAAGAAACAGAGAAGAACAGGGTTTTTTCAATTTTGTAGAGAGAGAAAATTGGGTTAAGAATTAAATTCAAATTACAACATATTTTGAGATTCTGAAAATTGGGATTTTCAATTCGATTTGTGGGTATTGTAAATTGATTAAATTTGATTGAAATTAAAATGGATATAGATAGTATTGAGTGTGTATCTTCAGTGGATGGAATGGAGGAAGAAGAGATCTCTCATCTTGACAACCACCATAACAACCACAACAACAACCACAATCACCACCAATTTCCCGCCAAACAAAGGAGTAATGTGATCCCCACGGCAATTACGCCGGCAACGAGCGTTCATGAATTGCTTGAATGTCCTGTTTGTACCAATTCTATGTACCCTCCAATTCATCAGGTTATTAATCTATCATTTATCTCTTGATTTTTGTAATTTGATTGAATTCTGGTTTGTTAGATGATGATAATAAATGGCGGTAATGGGAATGAATTTGTATACGGCCTAGCTGTTAAAGGTTTTTGGTTGTTGTTATTATTATTTATTGGGTTTGATTGGACTAGGTTTTCTTTTCTTGATTGGGATTTTGTTTTTGGGTTTGAAATCTGTACTAATTTTGATATAATATTGTGCAATTATTGGGGTTTTTTTTTTGTATGATTAAAGGAAATGTGATTGAAATTTGGTGGATTAGTTAGGCTTTATTTGATTGATTAGCTTAAATAATTGTTTGATTTTGTGTAATGTAGGTTATTTAAAAGATATGATGTGATTTAATCAAAGCATAAATAAATGTCATCGGGTTTGATCATGTTGTGTGAATTTGTGTAATGTGGGTTGTTTAAAAGTTATGATGTGAATTAATTAAAGCTTGAGTACCACCACAATTATGTAGCCTCTTTTATGGATTTGTTGGTTGATTCAATAATTATTGTATGATTTAGCTCGATTTTGTTTGATTAAGCAAATATTTGATGTGAAGCCAATCTTTTTAGCTGTGTATAACTCTCTTTGATGCGGAGTACACCATAATTGATTGTTATCACATGTTAGTTTGGTCCCAAAATTATTAATGCATTTCTCATAGCACCTACAACTAAATGATCGTTAAATTGCAAGCTATGGAAAAGTGAGCTTACTATTTCGAGATTTAAAGAGGTTAAACCTTGATAGCCGTAGTTTGTATTATAGGCCAAGGAGTCTACTGTATATGTTTGTTTTGCTTCTTTCTAACTGTGGCCTCTAATTGCATTTTGACTCTCATGCATGATTATGGTTTCTGTACTGAATGGTTTCTGTACGTTATTGGAAGCATTAAACTTTAACTCAATGGGGATTACAATCTAAAATACTGAATATGCAATCTACGTCAGATGTCCCATGTGAATGCTCATGGACTCATGGTAATGCACTAATGCATCTCCTCTACCTAATAGGAGTCGGGTGTCTTTTATGGATCTTGGTGCCTCTTATTATCATCTCTCTAGGTGGTATTGAAAATTAAGAAAGGAAATTATGTTCACGAGAATGAGTTATTTTGAATGGATACCAAGTGTTGATTAAGGATAGTTTATGTGGTAGAACACAAACTCATTTCCAACTTTTCATTACCTTCATTTTAGATTTTAGTATCAGATGATTGCTAGCATTAATTAAGATGTCAAGTCTCTTTATGAACTCAAGTCACTTTGTGATATCAGAATAATTTTTAGTGGGGAACTCGGATGCCAAGGTCATACTGAGTTGATTTGTAACTGGACATGAAGATAGAAGGATCAGTCCATATATGTAGAAAAAAAAACCTTGTGAAGTAATTTTCATCTTGCAGGGTGATAACTTGTGGCCATTATGCATTTGGAATTAGTCAAAAGGTTTGTGTTAATGAAATATATAAGATGAAATTTGGATGGAGGAGGAAATTGTTGTATAATTGCTTATACTTCAATTCTTGGAGCTTTCAGCTTAGACGGGCAAACAAACCTATTATCGATTCAATATATAGTAGGCTAAAGAGATGAATTGCAGCCTTAGGAAAAATTTAATAAGGGAAATTGTGTTAATATGAGAAAATTGACCAGAAATTTACTGCATGTTATGCGTGCCCTTAATCAGTTTGTTAAAAGCTTATGATCTGGTGAAACTTGAGTTCATCAAATGATTCTCTGAATATACAGTACTTTTAATTTGCATTTGCTTGAATTTTTTCTTTTCCAGTTTCCGCTGTTGTTCTTTAGCAAAATCTATACACTGTCCCAAACCATTTTTAGAAGAGAATGCAATTCCTCATTGTAGCCCTGCATAGTTTTTTTTATAAAAAAAAAAAAAAAAATTTAGATCCAAATAATAGGTAATCTATCTAATGCTAGAATATGCAACATTAATGACCCAAGAAGTATAAATAATCACTTATCAACTAATACCTCTCATGCCTTTATATGCAGACTGTTATAATTGGCCAATGTGTACTGAGCTATCTTAATCGGACACGCCTAATATCACGAAGTGTCCGTGTCAACACGAAACTTCACGGACATGGACACGGGACACGTGTCCGATCCTTCACTGTGCACTCGGACACTTCCATCAAGAGAGGAGAGGAAAAAAGAGAAGAAACATGAAAGAAAAACATATATTGTTCGAAAACCACCATTAATATAGAGAAGATGGAGAGAAGAAGGTTGTCATTTATTAGGAAAATTTACCGAGGAAAGAATTATAATAAAGAAAAATAGGGGTAGACATAATGAAAAATTTAAAACTTTTCTAATATATAATTTATTTATATAAATTTAAGTGACATATTAACGTGTCCCCGCACCCGTGTCTAAATATCGGACAAAGTCCCCGTGTCCTAAAATTTTGGAACTTGCCGGATCGGACACTTGGACATGTGTCCGTGTCCGACACCCGTTCCCGAGTCCATGTAACATAGGTACCGAGTTATTCAATATAGAAGAGGGGTCATATTACGACTTGCAGGCTGGTCCTGCATCTATTTATAAGTCCATCTTTTTGTTTTAATGCGATAGATAGGACAAGAGGGCGATTTTTTGCAATGTGTGTACCTCTTTATCCTCACCTTGTACTGTCTAATGCCTTTAATGTTTAAATAAATACATATGTGGCTTCTCTGCAATTGAGATTGGCTATAGTTTTCATAGAACGATCCTTATTTAGGGAGGAGAGCTTGTTACAAACTGTTTGGTGGCGCGGAGCTTTTTTTTTTCAGATTTATTTTATGAATTTGATTAGTAGAGCTCTTAAATACTTTGAATCACATCTGGGTTAATTATTGTTCACGATTGAGTGAAACATGTCAAACCAATATTAAGCTTGCATAGTTGATTTATATGGGTTTTGGTGTAATTGCAGTGCCATAATGGGCATACATTGTGCTCCACATGTAAAGGAAGGGTGCACAACCGATGCCCAACTTGTAGACAGGAGCTCGGTGATATTAGGTGCTTAGCTCTGGAGAAGGTGGCAGAGTCACTTGAACTTCCTTGTAGATATTACAGTTTGGGGTGTCCAGAAATATTTCCTTATTATAGCAAGCTCAAACATGAGACAGTGTGCAATTTTAGACCGTACAACTGTCCTTATGCAGGATCCGAGTGCTCTATTGTTGGTGATATCCCCCGCTTGGTGACCCATCTAAGGGATGATCACAAAGTGGACATGCATTCCGGAAATACATTCAATCATCGCTATGTAAAATCCAATCCTCGGGAAGTGGAGAATGCTACGTGGATGTTGACGGTCAGTAAAAGTCTCTCTTGTATATTTTGAGCATAATCTAATTTATTTCTTGAATCATTATGTGATTTAACTATGACATAATCGATCATATTGTCTGTGTTAGTTCCAACCTCATGGTCTCTCTTAGCCTTCTTTCATTTGCCTTAGTGGCTTACCCTCATTCTTATATTCTCATCTTTCACTTGTCTGTTATTTTGTCAGGTTTTCAATTATTTGGGTCAATACTTCTGCCTCCATTTTGAGGCTTTCCAACTACACAATGCTCCAGTGTACATGGCATTCCTACGTTTCATGGGCGACGAAAGTGAGGCTCAAAACTACAGTTACAGCCTCGAGGTTGGGGGAAATGGGAGGAAACTTATATGGGAAGGAACCCCTCGGAGCATCCGAGATAGTCACCGTAAGGTTAGAGATAGCCATGATGGTCTTATCATCCAACGAAATATGGCACTTTTCTTTTCCGGTGGGGACAAAAAGGAGTTGAAGCTGAGGGTAACTGGGAGGATATGGAAGGAGCAGGAAAAATCTGATGCTGCTCCCTGCATACCAAATATGAGTAGCTAAACGATCCGATCTCGTGTTTATAGAGGGGTGTTTTGAGGGGGATTACTTTGGTGGGTTTTCATATTTTTTTGCACTTTCATGCTATCTCATTTTTCTCTGTGTTGGTGTAATTGGATGGAGACATTTTGGGATGGCTTTGAATTGAAGTTTTCTACTTCTGTGCTCTTTCTAACCTCAGTTTCATACTTACTTTTGCCTTGGAACCTTGGTGTTGATATCATTGTTTAAAGCGTTTAAAATGGTATTAGTAATATACTAATATTCCCATAAAATCCTCATTATACGAAATACTAGTATATATTAGGAAGCCTTCCTCTCGAGAAGAATGATTAATTATTTTACTTCCAAGATATACGGACTGAGGTATCTACTGTTGAGATTGCAAAATGATGCAAGGTTGTTGGAAAAGTGGCACATCCCCTTGATTTTCATGATTTGGTTTCTTTTTGAAAATTCATACTCTTGACAATAATTCACGGACCCTGTTTGTCTACTAATGAACGGTATAGGACTACAATATTGTTGGGAATTCAAGTCTTAATGAAACAAGTAAAAGAAACTTTGAATTTGTGCAAATTGGGCTTAATCTTGTTTGCTAACTATACCACAGTAGAAGAAGACATCAAAAATAACTTACTTTGGAAACTCACTTAACCTGTTTAATTTATCAAACTATGGAGTGTTAATAAAATTATACTTGTATTTCAATGTCACTCGTGTTTTTGTAACAATTTACTTAAACTCAGAAATCTTAAGCATATTATCCATAAATACAAAAATACAAAATAACACAAATTCCAGACATGAAATTTAGTGACTTGACAAAAATACAAAATAACATATCAAATACGAAACCTTACACGAATTATGAAGTATTATCGTGGAGCTGAAGATTTGAAAGTAAAGTTGGGCCTCATGATTAGGCTATGTGAGAGGGTTGCTTACAGAAGTTATGCGGCCTTGATGATTGTATACATCAGTTTTTTAATTTAACTAGTATTAGCCCGTGCAATACACGTGCCAAACTTAATAGTTAAATATCTATTTTATTATTAACAAATTGTTTTATTACATATTTGGATTACTTTAATTTAAATCAAAATGCATGTAAATATAAATTGCATTAATGTGGTAAAATACATGACAAACATGCATTGGAGCTAAAGTAGGGAAGTTGTAAATTTACCTCCTTAATTAAAATAATTGCCCTTTTCATTCTAATTTTTATTTAGCTGTTCTATTTAAAGTTGTTGCTACCGGTTTTATTTGGATGTAGTTGGGATTTACTCTCCTTTTGTTGTTTAGCTTCTATGTAATTATTGAATCTTTTTGTAATGGCTTATGGGTAGTCTTTGGCTTTGTAAGAGAAATTAGATTTAGGCTTTTAGCCAATATATAAACCTACGTGGGATTTGAACCCACGACCTTTGTACAATTTCACAATGTTCTACCAATTTAGCTAGTAAGCTATTGTTATTAGACCATTTAGCAAGAAAATATAGTCAACGCAGGGTAATGTTGGAGTAAAAGTAGTACACCAATGAAGCAAATTGAGAAAAGGTGGCAATCGATGAACCTAAACAATTTAGCGACGTATTAACGGACTGTTCTCATTTGATCTGGTCATTTTTCTTCAGTTTCTTGTTTCTGTGAAATCCAAAACTGTATATAAAACCATCAATTGGAGCAAATTAAATGTGAAACTAAACGTAAAAAGTAAATGTAGAAGCAAAATGATGTTGTGAAAACCAAATATAACTAATAGTAAAAGAGATTGAACTTATATTGTAAAAGAGCCAAGGTTTCTTTCCACTCCTTAAAATAACACCAGATATTTACTTTAATGCATTGTTAAAATAAGTTTGAAGACATATTTAACCCAACCCAACTAATAAAACAGATAGTATTATAAGTATGCTAAGTTTGGTGTACTGTATAAATCTTCTACATTGATACCTCTTGGCTTTCTTATAATTGACTAAAAATACAATATAAATTTCTGGTGTTTGATAGTACTAAATCAGAAGCATAATTCTCCATATAACCATTTGAACTAAAAAAATATTAGATAAACATAATACTAAGATAAGTAAATTAACATAATTTCAATAATTTGATCGGTATGTTTAAAACCATTAAACATTAATCATGATTACTTGCATCTATGCATAGTTTGAAATGTGGCTTAAGGAGCATATAAAGGAGAATGACTACATGCATATATGTAAGAGAGTATAAGGATGAGATAAAAGAAGAATATCATAGTACAGTAGAATCTACGGAGAACCTATAAAAAAAAACAGAAGAAGAAAAAATATAGAGAAGATAATATTAAATAGAAATGTAGAAGAGACAAACTGAAATTGTTCAACGGAGGAGATGTATATATAAACTGACGAAGTGATCAAGTATCGTGTGAATGAAACTAAATAAAGATTGTTTAAAAAAAAATGAAGATTAAGGAGGATAACGGCTTACTCACCAACAATAAAAAAAAAATGAAAAATGATGATGTGGCACTCTATTGATTTGTTATGAATTTTTATTTTTTTTTTCAAATTTAAACAAATTTTGCAAATTATATTTTGAATATGGGTGTATAAAATATTCAAATATAAATTACAAAAAAAAAAAAAAAAAGGAAATACAAATTACAACGACAATGGAGGAATTTGATTGATGACTTATAAATATATAATGCACGGACCCTCAATTTTAACAACTAAATTAAAACTTTATCGCTACATAATGTTTATTTTTCATATGCATAAGGATGCACATAATCCAGACGTTGAAAAAAAATGCTCCATACCCACTTTCCCTCACCACATGATTTAAAACAAAATAAATTAATAAATTTTACACTAAACCTTTTTTTTTTATTTTTTTATTTTTTTTATTTTATCAACCTTTAATGATCAAAACCTGACTAAATTTCTCTTTCTAAAAACTTTTGTCCAAACTAAATGATTACTTTTCTTTAGATTTTTTTTTTTTTTTTTTTAGAAAAACAGAGCAATTCATTAATTAATATCAAATTTGGCTAAAGTATTAGAGCTCTTTCCCAAAATAATGTCAAGAAAAACCTCAATTCCCAAATTACAGCCACTTCTTTACATTTTCCCAATCTACCGTCCACGTAAGCATTGGGTAAAAAAACCGGGTTTTTTTTTCCGGTCCAGGGAAAACCGCTACTTCAAGTAGCGGTTTCTAAAAACAAAACCGCTACTTCAAGTAGCGGTTTTTGTTGTGAATTGTTTTCACTTAATAAACCGCCACTTGAAGTAGCGGTTTTTATTGAGTATACCGCTACTTCAAGTAGCGGTTTTCTTCAATACATCGCTACTTGAAGTAGCGGTTTTGTAAAAAAACTGGTCAAAAAAAATTCCAACTGAACCGGTGACGTGGACGGTAAAGTGGGAATATATAAAAGAGTGGCTGCATTTAGGGAATTACGCGAATTCCTAACCTTGTTTAGGGAAAGCGCTCAAAGTATTAGGAGACAAAGTTTACATTTTTTGGGAAAGAGCTCAAAAATAAAACATGTTTGTGCCACGTACTTATATAGTCTGGTCATGACCATATGTTAAAAAAAAATCATTATTTTTTTTAAGTATGTTGAACTAAATCCACCTACCTTGCAGGGTTGAAACACCTATTGTTCTTAATTAAACAATTTATTGGTCAACAAATTAAGATTAGTCCACTACGACTCATAATTAAGCTATATAAAATTTTGTTTGATTCGTTGTTTATAGAAATAATCTAGAATATTACCGTAATTGTTGTTTAAATCATTCATAACGTCACTTTCAGTAATCCTTGATTTAATTTGCAAATTGCTTGGGAATAGAATTTATTAATTATCTAAACTATTTTAACAAATTGGGAAAATTAGAAGTTGTTTAGCAACGAGATAACTTATATATTTGGTTACCAGTTACATCATACACGCATCATATGATAATATGATATAGAATTTGATGAGGGAGAATAAGAAGGATGTATTTCTAACTTGAGATATGCAACTTTTAATATTGATTCGAATTGTAGGATGGCCTTGGGTTGAGTTGGGCCGTGGTAAAACAAGAAAGAACAATACACAAACAATCTTAGAGAATGAACCATATATGCCTTCATTGTTACAAAAATATAGCAATTGAAGTGCTATCGTTTAGCTGCATGCTTCGCATATTATAAATGTCATGTTATAAAAGTCATATTATTGTTCGACGACAAGGCACATTCTATACTTCTATGTGTGTCGTGTCTTGGTCTTGTGCTATTTTTATTAAGAAAAACATGACAAGACACAGTACGAACTACGAAGCATGTTAATTATGTCAAATTTGATTTAACTAGGCACATAATTAAACACGACAAGATACAGTCGCATGTAGGATTGGGCACCGAACATAATTAAGCCTAAGGAACGCAATGACTCAAACATCTGACTGGCACCATCCACGACCATCATTACTCGATCCATTTTACGTAAATTATGATCACCCATATGACCATATATGACTCGACACTTTGCAGCTACGTGAAGTGGACACGATGCAATATTATCATGATATCAGATAGATTCACGTACGGCCAAATATCTTGGAACAATTTGTAGTTTATCGTGCCATTCTTCAATGATTGTTGGCCTTAGATCTTGGCCATTTTTATTCTGTCTTCTCTAAATGCAACATTGTAACAATGAACAAAGCATATTAATCAATCAAATTATTATTTTGATTTAGATAATAATCTCTTCATTTTGATTTTGCATGCATGGCCTAGCTTGAATCAATAATTAAGAATAATAAATCAATTCCTTTACGTGGTTGTTTGTACTATATATTGCCATTTGTATAACTTAGTCGGTGTTCTGCAACAAAATTGTAGTTTCATTATGAGCCGTACGGGGTTACGTTGTCAAAAAATTTGGATTACTTTGTACTCGTATGGGGTTACATTGTGTTGTTGTAGCTGGTGATTCGGGTTAATGGTTGAGTAAATAATCAATAATTTTATCTCGACTCTTGAGTTGATATTTTTATAATTATATTCAAATATAATTACAAACTAAGCGGGTTTGAGTTGATTGGATATATTTATTAGTACACAAGTTTGGTCATTAATACTTTAAGAATGTCTATATCAATAAAAAAAACTAAAAAAAATTAAAAAAAATAAAAAAAAATTAATTAGTCACGATTACAATACTTGATACCTTTATAAATAGTGTACAAAATCAAAGTAATATTTAAATTTAAAAATAAAGAGTGTAGGAATACAGGAGTAAGATACTACTATGAAGTATAGCCGGCTTCATGTTTTCTTGTCCTAATCGATACGAGCTAGGTTATGTTCCATATCGAGCTATAGATATTACAAACATATATAATACGATATACTACGAACGAAGTATAATTAAATTAATCTGCGCCAAATTAAAATGTTTATAATATTCACGTCGAGTTTGGATCGAGTTCTAATAAAGTCAACTCGCATGTTGCGTGTACGTGGCAAGAAAGTAGAAAATGTCCAAAGCCCTTTACACGTGGGACAATAAACGTAGGAGTAGTTATAGTTGTGTCCCAATTAAGATGGTAATTCTCGATGCCATGAGCCGTGAGAACTGTGAAAAGCTTGACCCTTACTCATATTAAGGCTCAAATGGTAGATGGCATGGCTTGATCCTTTGAAGATTTAGATCCGTTCATTTACTTGGTGTAAAAAAAAACAAAAAAAAAAGAAAATAATACATATGTTGCAACTAAGACTCTATAGGAAACTTTTATTTTTTATAAATAATAATAATGAAACAGAGGTAGTAATATAAAATCAAGTCAAATTGATGCATGAATAACACAAAAGTCAAATTGATGCACTTATTTAAATAAAGAAGTATAAAAGAAGCATCATCTATAGATAGCAAGTCTCGAGACTAGCTACTACTCCCTCTTTGTTTTAATAAGTGTTACGGTTTGACCGGCACATAGTTTTAGGCAATTCAATTGACTTAAATAAAATAAGAGGTAAGTGAAGTAGTTAGAGTATTAAAAAAAATATAAAAGAAAGACAATGAGGTGAATAGTTCATTGAAAAGTAATGAATGTGAGAAGAAGTATATAATAATAATAAAAAAAAGTAATAGTGGGTTTGGGTAGGGACCATGAGAGGAGTGAGATATAATATTTAAAGGTAGCTTTTTGCCAAAAAAAGAAAGTGTAACACTTATTAAAACACGGCCGGATTTGATCAGTGTAACAACACTTATTAAAACACGGAGGGAGTATGAGTAGTAATTTTTTATTTTTTTTTATTTTTATTTTTTATTTTTAAGGTAAGAAGGAAGAACTGACCAAACATCAACTCTCATGATTTTTTTTGATTTAATATATTTTTTATTTTTCATATATCTATTTAATGTAAATGAAAATAGAAAAGGTAAAAGAAGAGTGAAAAAAACATAACCAAAAACAGAAGAGTGAGTAATGCTATGAAGTACTTCTTGTTGGAGTTTGATTCTCATTGGATTTGTAGTACTCTTCATCCACAAGGAGCAATGTTCAATCTACCGGAGGTGTGAATTTTGTGGCAAGAACTTATTAAGAGTTTAAATGATGAAAGATAGTAAAGTCGAAGGGCGGTGAAAGATGTTAGTGGTCTTCCAACATAGATAAGTTCCTTGTCGGAGACACAAACTTACGACTCCAGCCATTAAAAGCGATGAGTTATATGTTGAAAATTGTTAGAGTTCGATCGAAATTGACGACGTTAATTGTTTGTCGGTGCTCAACTATTATGAACTTGTATACTGTTATTATTGGTTTGTTTACCGTTATTCTTATTTTGTATACTGTTATTACATAGTTGAATACTATTATTGAGAGGAGAGAGACTAGGTTTTTATAGCATAGTAATCATCACGTGAAATTACATTTTTACCCCCGATATAGGCCCAACAGTTTATCACTACTCTATACTCAAAGTCCATAGAAATTTGAATTTTCTATAATAGGGGACGAGAGCTCGTCACCTACAGCTAGATTAAAAACCCATCACGCAATTTGCACAAAATTTAAAAAAAAAAAAAAAAAGAGTAAAATAAAATAAACCCATTCTTCTTATCAGACTCACTTTTCCATTTCTGCAACAAATTACAACAACTACTAGCCTTTAAATACTTCATTTTTTCAGCGCATTTTAATTTCTTCTCATTTTTTTCATATCTCTTTTCGTTTTCCCCAGGTTAGTACTTTCAGATTATGTGAAATTTTCTTTCTTTTTTTTTTTTTTTTAATATCAATGTCTTAGAAATTAATTACAAGTATAAACCTTTTTAATAAATTTGTATGATCAGATTCAGCTTATATATTGTTGTTGTTTGATTTATTTGCGGGCATTTACTAATAGAATTTGATGAATCAATGTTGTTCAAGAAATTAATTTCTTTTGCATGGTTGAATATAAAGTTGCATTATTTCCTTTCTAAAATGTAGTTGCACTCTAACTTTTAAAAGTTTACAGTGTATGAATTATAAAATGTTGACAATTCTTATTAGTCTTAGGATTACTAATTTGATTTATAACAATGTTGGCAAAATAAGTTATTGAAAACCTCATATTTTTGGGTTCTACTTGTTCAACTTTAATGTAGATGAGTTTTTTTTTTTTGTTTGTTTGTTTGTTTGTTTGTTCTACTAGTTAATACCATGTCATAAACTTATAAACTTATAATCCTTTCGTTTATAACACAAGATATTCTTGGTTCACGTAGCAGACCCGTCTTATAGTCGTGTTTTACATTATTGTTGTCCTTGTTATAATTGTGGTTGCGTTGATTATTGCCTTTAAAATCTTTGACAGGATTGTTGATTATCGCCTGAAATAAGTACTTGCAATTATCAAAATTGTAGGGTTATTTAAGAAATCTTCAATATCTTCAAAGCCTTTGACTTTTTTAATTATTTAAAATGTGCAACTTGTTTCCCTATTGAGATCATTGTTTTTGGCCACATCAATGTGTTTGGTAAGTTGTTTATGTAAGCTTTAATTATTATGTTTAAAGGGTTAGATGGTGTTGCTTATAAGTGCTAGCTAACTGCCCTTTCACTTTCAATTGTATATTTTTCTATGATATGAAAACAACTTGTTAAAATTTTGATATAGTTCAATTTCGTCCATTTGTTGCATTAAATCTCAACTACCATTACTTGCTTCTTCAACTTTTTCAATGTGTCTTTTGAGATCAGGACCGTTGGGATAATTAGTAGAGTTAGCTATGCTTCAGTGTTTCACCGATAATTAATATCGACTTTTGTAGTTAAAGATGGTTCACTGGTGCTTCATTGAATTGCTACATTAGTTGTCATTTTCTCGTTTTGTGAACTTCGTGTTAGTGTTTATATAGGTGGCTTGATTGTAATATGTAAATTTTGATAGGGAGTCCTAGCAAAGCTTGAGTGAACGGCATAATAAGAAGGTATAAAATCTTTTCCTCAAAAAAAAAAAAAAAAAAAAAAAAAAAAGGTATAAAATCTTCCTTACTAAAGAATTAGCTTAGTTAGGCTGCCTTGATCATCTTGGGGCATAAAATCATAGGATCCTTGACTTGTCACTTTTGTACTATACTAGACTAGATATGAGAAATCGTTCTTTTTACAGTGTTTGAATGTTCACCTCTTAAAATCTGATGGTTTCATGATTCTTGACCAAGTATATTCGCTGATTTCAGATGTTTAGTTTAGGCATATTTCAGATCATGTTGCTGTAACTGACACAATCTTAAGGCTGTGTAGAAAATTAAATCAGCGATCTGTATGTTGATATTATAGGTCTTCTATTTGGGTGATAATTGTATGAAGGAGAGAGTATACACAGTGAAGAGATTTTCTTAGGCTTTGTTTCACTGTAAAGTTGTTTTAGGGAACACAAATTCATATGAACAACATGGTCTAATACAGGATACGATAATAGCAACATTGCGGTATAAATCTTCCTGTTGTCAGGTGCTTTGTGCATAGACGGATTTGGATATGACCTCTTCTATTATGAATTTTAGGTTTTTCTTTGCTTTTCTGTAAGCCACAATTTAATACCCCACATAAGGACTTTTCTCTAATACAAACAAGACGTAAAAGTTGATAAATAATAGCTGAGCATCTTTTTGTTTGCATTGACTTAAGCAGACTCTCCTCCAACACAGGCATGTTTTTAATGTGTTTAGGCTCATCGAAGATATATCAGAGATATTAGGAAGTTAATTGTGGCTACAAATTTGCTGAGCTAACAGATAATAGTGTGTAGTTCTTAGAAAGCAGGTTATTAATGATTCATCACCCTGAATCCCATACCCTTAGTTGTGGAAAGCATTCACTCATCTGAAATCAGCTTTTATGTTGTGCGTGTATGTGTGTGCATTGACTGCACTCCTATTTGTCTTGAAGCATGCACAAGTACTGTGAGATCATGACTGCTGCCTAGACATCTGCTACATGTACTCAATATTCACTGATAGTTCTCATTTCCTGATAATAATTTTCATGGCAGAATCCATGCTGTATTTTTGTGGATGCATGATGACATTTGTTTAGCTTGATGTTTGCATTGTCTGTCATGTTTCCTGACTTCCTGTAACCCTGTTAGTTATTGGCTGTCTTTAACAATAGCTAGTATTCCTATGTGCAGAAAGCTTTGAATGTATCCTGTATACACTAATTGCCTCTCAGCAGCTCCTTATGAGACTTAATCTAAGAATCTTGTTAATCATTAGTGCAGATTTTAGTTGGATTATCCCAAGTGGTATAAGCTTGCTAAACTGAAGAAATAGCTAGTTGGTGAAGTATTTTTGCTACTATATATGGGCTGCTGCTATTCGAAGAAAGTTGGTCGTGTTCCTGGATACGAGGATCCTGCCGTCCTTGCCTCTGTAACACCCTGTGAGTGTTCATCATATATCAAAGTACTGCATACCCTATAAATACTTGTTTTGCTTCTATGGAACCTCTGTTGTTTAATATCAATTACTTTTTGTATATCAGTGATGGCATCTTTGTTTATAACTTTATAGTAACTAGTCTTATGACCCGTGCACAGTTAGTTCAATAAAAGGTTGAAAGAAAGATGTTTAATTTCAGAAAGGGAAGGGGAAGGTGATGAAATACGAGAAATAAAACTAAATGAACAAATATTAAGTCTTTGTCCCTATGGGCTTGTGTTCTTAAATACTCTGTAATAGGTATAGATACTATGGAGTAATAACTAATACAGAGTACCTTTTACTGATACATTCCTTGGTTATTTATCGTCTGCAGTCACTGAGAGTGAAGTAGAGGCCTTGTATGAGTTATTCAAGAAATTGAGCAGCTCCATTATTGATGACGGCCTAATTCATAAGGTAAGTAAATTTATGGACCTTGACAGGAGTTTTTTGATGCCATATTATTTCCTGTTTATTCCATAATTCATGGCAGTCATATTCATTTTTTTCATGTATATATTTTGACAGGAAGAGTTCCGACTTGCGCTCTTTAGGAACAATAAAAAGGAGAATCTCTTTGCAGATAGGGTGAGTGGGCAGCTTCAGTTTCTTTCTTTCTATACTTCTGGGTCGTTCTTGTTGCCAAATTCTACTATATAACCTGTAGCACTATATCAAAACGAAAATACGCGGAATGTTTTCTTGTCTAGCCTGAAGTCGCCCTGAACAATGTCTTACATTCGGTCTTTTGCAGATCTTTGACTTATTTGATTTGAAACGCAATGGTGTCATTGACTTTGGAGAATTTGTTCGGTCATTGGGAGTATTTCACCCAAATTCACCAGTAAAGGATAAGATGGAATGTATGTACCTCAATGATTTGTAAGTAAGCGCGCTTAACAATCTTTATCTGACAAAACTCTATTGTATTAATGGAAATACTTTCTGCCTGTAGTTGCTTTCAAACTGTATGATCTGAGACAAACTGGGTTTATTGAGCGTGAAGAGGTGAGTACTTGTAGCTTTTTATCAGTGAGAACCTGAATAACCAATTGTTAGCCATTCCCTGGTTTTTTTCATATGCCATAAGCTCATTATCGTTCACTTGAACACAGTTGACGGAGATGGTTCTGGCTCTGTTGCATGAATCAGAGTTGTTCCTCTCAGATGATGCTGTCGAGGCAATTGTGGATAAGGTATATAACAAAAGTCCTTTCCATGCTTCCCCCCCCCCCCCCCGCCCCCCCCCCCCCCCCCCCCCCCCCCCCCCCCGGTGGTTCATACATAATATATTTGTATATTGTTTCCACAGACATTTACTGAAGCAGATTTGAAAGGTGACGGGAAGATAGATCGAGAAGAATGGTGTGAATTAGTAAAGACTTATCCTTCATTGCTAAAGAATATGACACTCCCATATTTGAAGTAAGTTTTTTCATCTCAAAAGCTTTATATTGTGAAGTACTTATCAAAAAGCGTCCATTAGTTTTTGCAGAATAATTTATCATAACGTTTTTTTCAGGGATATTACATTAGCATTTCCAAGCTTCATTTTAACCTCAGAAGTTGAAGACATAGAAGTGCCTTAGAAAGGAAAAAAGAGTACTGATTGATGGTTGATGAAAGGCATTTTGTGTCAATTTAGTTTATGTCTGGCTTTACTTCAGCCTTTTCTCCAAACTTTGAGGCGTGTTCCAACGACGAGTAAGGGTGAGCTGATATGAAGAACCCAACTAGATCAGATGGTTTACAGTGTTCAGATCACACAGTGAAGCAACACCAATGTTTCACCAATTCACCCCTTGTGTACTGGAAAAAGAAAAAAACAGTGCAAACAGAACATATATCAATATGTAACATCTTATACTTGCACTTGTACGTGTAGTATCATACCACATCACAATAAAGAACATCCTTTTGAAATGCTCATATGTTTAGGTTCATGTATTGATAACAGTTGTAAAGACTAAAATTAATCACCCTCCTAAAACTTTAACATACTAAATTAATTAGCCTTAATGCCTCATAGAGTATTCAAATATGACATTATAGGTTTTAGTTGATCAAATGGTTGAGTAATTGTCCAAATGGTTGATTTTTAATAGATTCAAGAGTGTTGAAACCCCTTGTTGTTTACATGTGACTAGTCTATCATCAAAGAAAGATGGAAAAAAAAATAACTCACAAGCTAGAGGAGTTACTCTTACCGTGATTTTACTATGAAATCTTATTCAAGCTTTGAAGTGGAATTGACTCTCCTTATTATCTAGGCACCTATTTCATCTCTTCAAAAAAATTAACAATGAGATTTTAGTCTACTAAAATCATGATAAAAATCAAGCAAGTGGCTTAAGTAAAGATGGTTGTGGACTGTGTCTGGACGACGTGTTTTGAGGTTAGCTAACCCATGACTCAACCCATAAGGCCACTAAGCAACGTGTCGTGCTAAAATTTTCAAAAGATAAGCCCATGCACCGAAGCCCAAGTGCCACCGTATTGGGCCTAAGCTAATTTTCACCGATTTCGTCGTGTTTTTGTCATGTTGTGTGGTGCTTCTCCCAAATAAAGGTGGTCCATGCCTAGCCCACAGCTTGACGCACACGGTAACATGTCGTGTCGCGCCTATATCATGTCTATGTTGTGTTTTGTTTTCATGTTGGATCATGCGGTGTTTTGAGCAGGCCAAACTTAGTGCTATCTTTAGGTTTAAACACATTAGTTTGAATATGAAAAGAACAAGCAAGTGGTTAAAACAAACCAATTAAACATCACTACATTCAATAATCACTACCTCTCCACAAGAAGCAAGTGGAAGAGTGAAGTATTAAGGTGACCTCTAGCTCTTGTTCATTGAGGACCTTGACCTTTCTTTCTCCAACAAGAAGTTGACAACTCTTTCATTAACCCTTTTTCTAATATCACACACCCCTTTCACTTTTTTCCTTTTCACTTCTCAATTCTTAGATAATCACATATTTCTTCTATAGTCCATATCAACTCCACATATCCATTCCTCTACCTAGGAAATTGGATTTATTTATTTATTTTTTTCATGAAAAAACTATCAAAATCATAAATTAGTAAGTTACAATTAAATGTCCTTACCTTGTTGAAATCCTTTTTGTTTCTGTCTCCAAATTTTAGCCCCAATTAATCAATTATCCATTTTAATATTAATTTATTTATTTTAATATTAAGATTTTAATTTTTTTAATTTGAATTTTTATACTGAAAAGTGAAAAAGCAAACAATAATTCTTCAATCTTTCTTGCACAACTCACACTCTCTCTCCTCTTTGAATTGATTCCTGAATCTGAATTTTTTTCAGAAGCAATTACAACACTTTTGAAATCGTTCCTGAAATTCGATTCTTTCACCCGGATTTCTTCAAATCCAAATCAATTCTATTCCATCTTCCAATCAAATCCAAAAAAATCCAATCTCTCTGTATTGAAAAAACCCTTAAATTTCTCCCAATTCTTTTTTTTTTTTTGAATTTTTTTGGATTTCAATCGATACTCATCACAAATTATCCCCAAATTCTTTCAATTTCTATCGATTCTGTAAAAACCCATTTGCTTAATTACTCAAACAATTCATTTTTTTTTTGGGAGGGGTTAATTTTTGTTCAAATGTGTCTGTAATGCACCCAGTTGGAACTAATACTGGGACAAAGAATACCCTAAAACGTTCTAGATCATTCTCATTGGATATGCCTGCAACTGTTACTGATAATTCAATGGTTTCCCAGAAATTTTCTGTTGATGATGATGATGATGGTGGTGGTTACCCTTCATTCTCTGTTGATGAAATTGTGCAATACCCTTTGCCTGGTTATGTTGCACCAACTTCACTTAGTTTTAGCCCAGATGATAATTTGATTACTTATTTATATAGCCCTGATCATAGTTTGAGCAGGAAGGTTTTCAGCTTTAATCTGGAAAATGGTAAGCATGAATTGGTGTTTAGCCCTGTTGATGGTGGGCTTGATGAGAGTAATATCTCTGAAGAGGAGAAGTTGAGGAGAGAGAGAGCTAGAGAGAGGGGATTGGGTGTGACGCGGTACGAGTGGGTTAAGATGTTATCATCAAAGCAGAAGATGATCATGGTGCCTTTGCCTGATGGGGTTTGTTTTCTGATTGCTTTCTTTCAAGTTTTAGTTTGTGTGTTTTTTCTTTTTATGTTTTAATTTTGAATTTTGTGTTTGTTGGTTGGTTGGTTTGATTTATTTATTTAGTAGAAGTTAATGTTTTAATTGTGGTGTAAAGGATTGTGATGTAGACGAGATTTGATCCCATGCCAAGATTTAGCTAAGCAAGCTAGCATCCATATTTTGATGCATGCATATTGTGAATTTATCTGCTAGAGTTTCTATGTTTCATAGCAGTAAAATTTATTGCATTAAGCTTGATTAGTGTGGCTTCTTACTTCTTAGTGTTCCTTGGAGTATATGTATCGAATGCTGAACTTTTCTGTAACTCATGAAAGTTGGTGTTTAGTGTCTTTTAAATCCAGCATTTTACATAGGTAACTTTTCACAATCAGGCAATTTACAAAAAGTGTCAAAGCAGTTAGTAGGGCTCCTACCTTTAAATGGACTAATGCCTTTTAGTCTTCTTTTATAATGATGATGTGTTTTGCCATATCAATAACACTCTTCATGACCTTTGTATGATGCCTTCTCTGGGGTTAGGGGTTATTGCTAGAGTCTAGAGAAGGAGACATTGCCTTAAAATAGGATTCTCCCCTTTCGTATACTGAATCCATGTTGGTTATGAGAATTCTGTTCTTACTTCTTTGTAAGACTTTCACACTTTCTGTTTATAGATGATCACTATGCTTATGCATGGCGCTTAGTTGTGTGGATGGATTAAAGATATCAATGGCTGGAATATTTCTACTATTTTCATCATTTAAGGAAGGAACAGAGAAAATTGAGGAAGGATGGATCAAATAGAACAATTTGTGAGAACTTTTTATTTTTTTGAAGTGTCATAGAAATTATTGTCTTTAGATGCATCATGCGATACTACCTCATGGCTTGAATACTTCTATTAGTTCATCGCTAAAGGAAGGGGCATGGAAATTTGAGGAAGGATTGATCAAATAGAACAATGTGTGACAAGTCTGCATCATTTTATTTGAAGGGTTTCTTTATATTTTTTCAAAGTGTCGTAGGGTTTCTTTATTTGAAGGGTTTGCGTGGTCATTTATGATGATGGTAGGGTGGTTCAAGATCACAATTGTAGGCCGATTGAATTATTTGGGAGTTGTGCTGGAGCGCAGTTCCTTAAACCTCAAACTCATACACCAGTTTTAATTGATGACTGCAATCTGCTCTTCTGTGGGTTTCTTGTTCTTGTTAGAACAAAAAAAGTAGCTAGTAGCTGTTTAATTCTTTGGCTCTTGCCTTTCAGGCTCTCATGTTAAGTTGGTGGAAAACTCAATTGCTTAAAATCTCCCCTTCTCCCTCTTGTTTTGTGGAATTGAGCTTGTTCATAGACCGTTGTCATTGGGTGTCTTGGACCTTAATTCTCTTAATTTTTCCTCTAATCAATACTGAATTTCTCTCTTCCTGTTTTATAGTCTATATATATAGTGTCATAGGACATGAAGTAGTATTTTTCTAGTTGAAATTTGTCCAAAATGTGGACTTCAATGAATTGAGTATCCAGGACACACCATACTAATTTAAGCTCAAGGCTCTTGTTATTCAGAAATTATGTTCCTTGTTCTGAAACGTAAATCAAGCTGCTGTTCAGCAGTGGCATATGTATTCCTGACATGAACAAGGTCCATATTTCCTGTTGTAAGCTGTGTCATAGTTTAGCATATGATTCATAATTCATGGCGGCACATTTCACTTGTCTATACGTAGTTGGAGCTCGTCTCTAGTTGCTTCTTACTACTGTTTAGTTGTGCATGATCTATGCCCTATGATGGATTTTTGGTGGGGAAAAAAACAGTGGAGCTAACAATTGCTCTGTAATTGATAAATTCACTGGGGATTGGGATTCTGCTACTGTTACATAAAGTTTTTAATTCTTTATTAGTAGAATATTGTATAAAGAATTTAATGGTCAAAGCTGTGCGTTGGCTAACGTAAAGGCCAAGATGCATGTTTGTGAAACGGATGTAGTATGGAATAGTGAACCCTTGTAGATCTTTTCAACTCCTTTGGATATTGTTGATATAGTTTAAATAGCAGTTCTGGTAGATTCGTATATGCTTATGGAAAGCCTTTCACGTGTTTTAATCCGGTCCCTTATTGGATCCCTACAGGGAGCTGCTCTTTTGTGGAAATGGAAAGAGGATCCGGCCTTCCCTTAAGAAAGGTATAAATTGTAGGAAGGAGATGGTTCTGGTTTCAGGAGACTGATTTGAGGTTAAGCATTAGTCATAGGTACTCTTGCATTAGTCTAGGACATCTGCTACATTTTCTGAGGCATGTGGAACTATACCTATGTTGCTGTTTCTGGGTTAACTATTTGGATGCAACGATTCCTCTTCACTCTGAACTTAGTGTCTCAGCCTGCTTTACATCAGGTCTGTTCCAGTCTTTCGGGATTTTGGTGTTGAACCATTTATTATTTTGATAGTCACAATGCCACATCGTTTGATGAGTTAATGTTGAATGGATTCTTGATCATATCTGAAGGTATTTGTTGTTTGTGTTGGTTTAGGAAAATTTATTTTATGGTTGTGTGAGCCAGTTACCACTTTTGACTTTCATCTGTTTCCGGCATCCTTGCTCTCCTATTGGCATGTTATATTAGAAGCCCGTTTACCTTGTAATATCATTATTGATTCGATAAGGTACTTTTGATTGGCCCTCAGGCCCTCACATTCTTCCTATGACATGCACAGGTCTATTTGTACGATCTTTCTTCCTCCAAAGTTGATCTCAAGCTTCAAAGCACACCCAACTC